ATAATTAAATATTTATTTGAAAAAAATAAAAAAAGAAACTAAATCGCAACGAAGCTAATAGAGTCTTGTTTCAAAGATTATTATGAGAGAAAATAAACGAAACGAAATAAAGATAAAAAATAATATTAATAATAATAATAACAGTTTATATATATATATAGTTGTTAGTTATCTTCTTTTATAAAGTAGGTATCTTTAGTAGATATCTCAACGTTATTGGAGCGGAAGATAATGTTCTACAAACGTAACGAGCTGTTCCCGAAAATCTATTCTATCAATATTTTTCCTCCCTTTACTCTTATCTGGTTGTGTCTACGTGTATATATATATATATATGTGTGTGTATCGATTGTGAATGAAGTCAATCGATATTCCATTACTCATAAAGAATTGATCAAGACTAGAAAGAAATCGAAGAGAGATAGGAATCCGACACAGCTTGCATTGCACTCTTTTTTTTCTTTTTTCTTCTTCTTCTTTTTCTTTTTCTCGTGAGTTTTGAATTCTTAAAAAGAACGAATTTTCTTCTACAAGTTAAATAATCTATCTCGCATCTCCAATTACATTTTTATTATCGGATCGATAGTTTAAGGTTCACCTATCTATCTAGTACTCGTGCTTGACTTATTAACTTTTGTATTATTTTTTATTTTAGTATTCCTTTTTTATTTTTCTTTGATGCTATTTCCTTATCTAAGTAAACCAAAAAAAGAAAGGATAGAAAAGTACGAGCGTTTATTTGATTGTGTTTGTTAATTTCATGTCAGATACAACAAACGGTAAATTTTGCAATGCATTTTGTCACAATGCATCGCAAATATTGTTCTTTATTAAATAAATACCTTTGAGAGTGATTGTTACTTTTTTATTTTTTTTTTCTCCGTAAAAACGTCAAACGTAACGTTGACGAATAAAAGTATAATCGTACTTTTTGTTTTTTGTTAATACACGTCCATTCATTCGATTCATTTATTGAATCAAATTTTGTAGAAGAGATAAGAGTTAAGTGAATTACAAAAAAAAGTACAAATCCATTATTATTAATTAATACCATTGACGAGATGAGTTTTTCATCAACAAATCAACGAATAATTAAATGAACTAACGTACGAGCGAATAAACGCGAATAAAATAAAAACTGATCGTCATTTTTTCAAACATACATAAGTAATTCAATTAGTTGTTTCTCTCGTCCAAAAATAAAAATTCTTAATTAAAAGTTATTTAAGGAAATTTGGACATCAAAAGAAATAGAACTTAATTTTGATAAGTTTGATAAGTTATATATTATATATATATATAGTTATAAGTTAACTTGTCAAAATTAAGTTCTATTTCTTTTGATGTCCAAATTCCCTTAGATACTTCTTTTTATTATACATAAGTAATATTTTTCATTGAAATCATTAAGAAACCCCATAAGATTAACAAAAATTTTGTTTAATTGTAACAGAGGGTAAAAGAATAAATAACGCGTAAAATCTAATGTGAAACTTTAATTCGATAATTGCCAATGCAAATACTAACTTTGAATAATTAAGAAGATTAAAAAAAGAAGAAGAAAGAAAAAGAAATAAGATTAAATCGATAATAAATCGAATGGAAAGATTGCGATGGGGGAAATAAAAGACAATGTTAAAATTCTAAAGAGAGAAACTTCTTCACTCTCGTAAGGTCTTCATTGGACCCTTTCAAGAATCTTGCTAAGGTTCGTACATCTATTAAGGACGAACGTTCTAAGCTTTTCGAAAATGGGAACGAATGAAAAGTTTAACAAGTTACCCAAGATCGCGAGCTTAAAAAGGCGTTTTTCCTTCTCCAACTTAAGTTACGTACGTGTTTACGTTAATACGGGTAAAGAAAAAAAAAAAAAAAACACAGAAAAGAAAAGAAAAAATAGAATTTAAAAAAAGAAGAAAAAGTGGATGGATGAAGGCCAAAAAAAAGCGAGAGAACGATTATAAAAATGAATAAAAATACAAAAATAATACTTCGCGTTAAATCCGTGTTATAAAAAATTACAAAAATAAAATATTCTATAAAAGAAAGTAAAAACCATAAGAATAATATATAAACAAAACAAACTAATATTAACGAATAAATGTAGATTTAAAAATAAGTAAATGGGTAAATAAATGAAGGGATTTGTGTTAAACCTTTCTTCTTTATGAAAAAAAAAAGGAAAATTCAAAAAATATATATATTATATCGTTATTCTATATATATTATTGTAGGTCAAAGTATAGTATAGTAAATCGAAAGATAGAATTTGTAAAGGCCAGATTAGATTGTACCTAAGAGAACTTTAGAATCTCTCGGACTAATTCGAATTATATCGAACAGAAATAACATAAACAGTTAGAGAAGTTGGGTTGGGTCTACTGGAAACAAGATAAAGATAAAAAAAGACTATTTATTTCCATTCCTTCTATTTACTTCTATTTCTCTCTCTCTCTCTCTCTCTCTCTCTCTCTCTCTCTCTCTCTCTCTCTCTCTCTTT